GGTGTAACATATCTATTTATTAGGGTCCCCAAATGATAGGAAAGAATGTGACAGAAGAAATATATGAATATATAATAGTAAAAGTTACTTAAAACTGATGAAAGACATCAACCCAGAGGCTGGGCAAACCTCAGGCAAATAATTATAAAGAGAACCACAGTTTTGACACATTGAAGAAACAGACAAAAAAAAAAGTTGCTTTCAAAGGAGAAACAATAAACTTAACAATGTACTTCTCAATGGAAATGACAGAAGGCCTAAAACAATAGAATAACTCCCAACCTACAAATCCAATCCCCCCAAAATAAAAATGACAAAGACATTTTCAGACAAAATTACAATAATTCATCATCAACAGACCTTAACCAAAAGAAGAACTAAAGGGAGTTTTTCAGGCAGAAGAGAAATGCTTTGATACAGAAACCAGAAATGCAGAAAGAAACAAAACACAAAAGAGAAGGTAAATGTTTTGGTAAATATGAATAAATATTGATTGTATAAAACAGTAATATTCAAAGGGTTCAAAATATACATAAAGTTACACTGTATGACAAAATTAACAAAATAGGAAGTAGAAAATGGAGCTAAAATGTTTTAAGTTAGCATATTGAGAAGTGGTAAAAGTAATCCTTTTTATTAAACTGCAAAAAGTAAAGGATACATATTGTAATTTTGATGGCCAGCACTAAAAGACTATAAAACAATACATAACAAAAAAATGTTATAAAAATAGATGAAATAGAATCATATAAAATATTTTACTAAGTCAAAAAAGGTGAGGTAAGAAAAAATGCTAAAACAAGCCAACAGAATATATACAACAATATGGCTTCTATACACACAAATGTATCAGTAATCACATTAAATATAAATAGATTAATACTGCAGTTCAACACAGTTTATCAGACTGGATTTTTAAAACTTAGACATGTTTAGTGTATATCTTTCACTCTTGATTGTATGTCAAATTTTACATAAACTAAAAGAGTCCGGGTTAATCCTATGGGTAATTTTTAATTATTAATAATAGTAACAAAAGTTATTAAGTTTTTGCTATGTGCCAGATCTATTTAAAGTATTTTACATGTATTGATTCATTTAGTATTCACAATAATGCTTCGTAGTATGTACTATAATGATCTCTATCTAAGGCATAAAGAGTTTAAATAACTTACAAAAGTCAGTGACAGAGCAAGAAAATATGCTCAAGTACTCTGACATCAGAGATCATGCTAATAATCACTAAACTATACTGTCTCATTATCTGCAATGGAGAATAAAGATTATAATGAGGGCTTTGTAAAGAATTCTTACAAGTTACAATTCTAATAATTCTTCTAAATTTAAATGTCCGGTTACTTAGAATAATGAACTTCTAGTACATTTTAAGCAAAATAAAACAAAAATATTCTAAAAACTACTAACGTTCATGATGCATTTCTTTTAACTTTATTTAAATTTTATTAGATTTTAAAATTTATTAGATTAAATTTAAATTTTTTTATTTTTTTATTTTTTTGTTTTTTTACTTTTTCTATTATGTTACATTACTCATCATACAGTACATCATTAGTTTTTGATGTAGTGTTCCATGATTCATTGTTTGCATATAACACCCAGTGCTCCATGCAGTACGTGCCCTCTTTAATACCCATCACCAGGCTAACACATCCCCCCACCCCCTCCCCTCTAAAACCCTTAGTTTGTTTTTCAGAGTCCATAGTCTCTCATGGTTCATGTCTCCCCCTCTGATCTCCCCCCCCTTCATTTTTCCCTTCCTTCTCCTAATGTCCTCCATGCTATTCCTTATGTTCCACAAATAAGTGAACCATATGATGACTTTCTTTTTTTTAATTTTATTTATTTATTTGACACACAGAGAGATAGCAAAAGCAGGAACACAAGCAGGGGTAGTGGGAGAGGGAGAAGCAGGCTTCCTGCTGAGCAGAGAGCCTGATGCGGGGCTCAATCCCAGGACTCTGGGATCATGACCTGAGCTGAAGGCAGATGCTTAACAACTAAGCCACCCAGGTGCCCTGATAATTGACTTTCTCTGTTTGACTTATTTCACTTAGCATAATCTCCTCTAGTTCTATCCATGTTGATGCAAAAGTTGGGTATTCATCCTTTCTGATGGCTGAGTAATATTCCATTGTATATATGGACTACATTTTCTTTATCCATTCATCTACTGAAGAGCATCTCAGCTCATTCCACAGTTTGGCTATTGCGGACATTGCTGCTATGAACATTGGGGTGCATATGGCCCTTCTTTTCACTACATCTGTGTCTTTGAGGTAAATAGCCAGAAGTGTAATTGCTGGGTCATAGGGTAGCTCTAGTTTTAATTTTTTGAGGAACCTCCACACTGTTTTCCAAAGTGACTGTACCAACTTGCATTCTCACCAATAGTGTAAGAGGGTTCCCATTTCTCCACAACCTCTCCAACATTTATTGTTTCTTACCTTGTCAATTTTTGCCATTCTAACTGGCATAAGGTGGTATCTCAATGTGGTTTTGATTTGAATTTCCCTGATGGCTAATGATAATGAACATTTTTCCATGTGTCTGTTATGTCTTCTTTGGAGAAGGGTCTGTTCATGTCTTCTGCCCATTTTTTGACTTCATTATTTGTTTTTTGGGTTTTGAGTTTGGGAAGTTCTTTATAGATCTTGGATATCAGCCCTTTTTCTGTAGTGTTATTTGCAAATATCTTCTCCCATTCTGTGGGTTGCCTCTTTGTTTTGTTGACTGTTTCCTTTGCTGTGCAGAAGCTTCTTATCTTGATGAAGTCCCAAAAGTTCATTTTTGCTTTTGTTTCCCTTACCTTTGGAGACGTGTCTTGAAAGAAGCTGCTGTGACTGATGTCGAAAATGTTACTGCCTATGTTCTCCTCTAGGATTTTGATGGATTCCTGTCTCACATTGAGGTCTTTCATCCATTTTGAGTTTATCTTTGTGTATGGTGTTAGAGAATGGTCAAGTTTCATTCTTCTGTATATACCTGTCTAATTTTCCCAGCACCATTTATTGAAGAGACTGTCTTTTTTCCATTGCATATTTTTTCCTGCTTTGTCGAAGATTATTTGACCATAGAGTTGAGGGTCCATATCTGGGTTCTCTATTCTGTTCCATTGGTCTATATGTCTGTTTTTGTTCCAATACCATGCTGTCTTGGTGATCACTGCTTTGTAATATAGCTTGAAATCGGGCAATGTGATGCACCCAGCTTTGTTTTTCTTTTTCAGCATTTCCTTGGTGATTCGGGATCTTTTCTGATTCCATACAAATTTTAGGATTGTTTGTTCCAGCACTTTAAAAAATGTCATTGGAATTTTCATTGGGATGGTGTTGAAAGTATAGATTGCTCTGGACAGCACAGACATTTCAACAATGTTTATTTTTCCAATGCATGAGCATGGAATGTTTTTCCATCTTCTTGTGCCTTCTTCAATTTCTTTCATTAGTGTTCTGTAGTTCCTAGAGTATAGATCCTTTACCTCTTTGGTTAGGCCTATTCCAAGGTATCTTATGGTTTTTGGTGCTATTGCAAATGGAATCTATTCTCTAATTTCTCTTTCTACAGTTACATTGTTAGTGAATAAGAAAGCAACTGATTTCTGTGCATTGATTTTGTATCCTGCCACATTACTGAATTGCTGTATGAGTTCTAGTAATTTGGGAGTGGAGTCTTTTGGGTTTTCCACATAAAGTATCATGTCATCTGCGAAAAGAGAGAGTCTGACTTCTTTGCCAATTTGAATACCTTTTATTTCTTTTTGTTGTCTGATTGCTGTTGCTAGGACTTCTAGTACTGTTGAATAGTGGCGAGAGTGATACATTTCAAATATATTTATATCAGCACTTAAACATGATTAAGATGGTAAATTTAATGTTATTGTTTTTACCTCATTAGAATATATATAAATAAAATATTTTGTAAGATTTCATAAAAATCTCACAGTGAAATTTTAATTTTTGTTTAAATAAGAAAAGCCTTTATTTACTCCATTTTTCTTTTATGCCTACAAACCTTAAGCAACTCCCAGAGATTACAGATAATGATTTACAGCTGTTCTTTCATTACAATGAGATCTATTTCAGCTATATCTGAAGTTTTTAACTAATTTAAAGCACTACAGTGATAACTTTGGCAGCTCATATACTAAAACTGGAACAACACAGAGAAGATTAGCACGTGCAAAAATGACTTGCAAATTTAACTTCGTTGCACTAGGGTATTCTTATATTACCACCATAAACATCTTAGGATTCAATTTCCTATAAACCATATGTGTTCCACTTTCTGGGTTGAAAATAATTTTCTCTGATAGGAAAGACAAATCCAATTCAGCATTTCAGTGGCTCTACTATCCCCATTTCATCTACCCCACCCCTACAGAGTTTTTTTAGCTTTTTTTTTTTTGCCAAACCAAACTTACACAAACTAATTTTAATTTTCTGTAGTATTTTTTACAATAACTTTTCCTTCTCTTTAAGCTTCCTGGAGTACAGTTCTATGCTTCTCTCTCATATTCATTTATTCAGTTATAATTTCCTGAGTGTCTACTATAGGACAGATACCATGTTTCCACTGTTTTGTACATGTCCTTTTATGATTTGACAACTATGTTCAAACTTCCCCAATGTTTAACTTCTATTTATATTCTACCTATAAAATATCTATCTGTTCCATCTATATTTTTTATTGCTATTGTTAGCTACTTTTACTTTTCCATATGTACATTCTTTTAAACTTTCTCAAATTCTTTAGGAGAAAGAATAATATATACACATATATTACAATGTCCTTTTAAAAATGTCTTCTAAAAAGTTTAATGTACAGCAAAACTGCATTTTCAGAATTTTACTCATGAGTTATTTTCCTGTCAACACTTTTAGGTTAGTTTCACTGTTAGAGTCTCTGATCTTAAGAACATTTCTTATCTGATCATTTTGAAATAGGGATTATCTAATTTCCTTATACATATCTAACCATGCCCAGAATCTCTTCTTTGACAATTCTAAACTGTAAAATAACATGATCACTATTTGCAAACGATTCTTCCCTTCTATTTCATTAGTTCTCCTTTATTAAGTCAAAATTAAGCTAAGACATGAGTTCCTCCCATAGCTTCCTCTGTAAATTATCAGTAAATCAAAAACATGTACGACATTCTGCTTTCAATAAAATGAGAAATCCAACAAAAGCTTTTAATATCTACTCACATAGTTATCACCTTTGATACTCTGTATTAGTTTATATAGATCAAGATTCCATCTGGTAACATTTTCCTCTGCCTGGAAGACTTCCTTTAATATTTCTCTTAATGCAGGTCTTTGAGGGATGAATATTTCAGCTTTTATATATATATAAAGGTCTTCATTTTATTCTCCATTTTGAAAGATATTTTAGCCTACTATAGAATTACAGGTTGACAACTGTTTTCTAATACTTAAAAATATTGCACTGCTGTCTTCTGACTTACATCATTTCCAATAAGAAATATACTGTCGTTTTTAACTTTGTTCCTCAGTGCTATGTATCCTTTTTCTCTGGCTGCTTTTAATAATTTTTTTTAACCATTCTAGTCAATTTGATTATAATATGCCTTGGCATAGCTTCTTTAATGTCTTTTGTGTTGCAGTCTTGTTGAGCTTCATGGATAAATGGGTATTTAGTTCTTATCAAAGTTTGGAAATTTTCAGCCATTATTTCTTAAAATATTTTTTATGCCCCCGCACTTTTTTCTCTTCCTTCAAGGATGCTAACTACACACATATTAGGCCACTTCAAATTGACTTAGAGTTCATCGATATTTATTCACTATTTTTGTCCTTTTTCTCATTATTTCATTTCAGATAGTTTCTACCAGTGTCTTAGGGTTCACAAATCTTTTCTTCTGAACCTTCTAATCTGTTGTTAATGGCAGTGTACTTTTTTAAAAAATGTTATATTTGCTATCTCTAGAACTTCAATTTTTGTCTTTTTATTTGTACCATTTCTCTACTCAATACGTTCGATCTTTCCCCTACCTTCTTAAACATGTGGAATATAGTTATAATAACTGCTTAATGTCTTTATCTACTAATTCTATCATCTCTGTAATTTCTGGTCTTTTTCTATTGATTGTTTTTATTTTCCTGATTCTAGGTTATATTTTCCTGCTTCTTTGCATACCTACTAATTTTTTTTATTGGATGTCACACTCTGAATTTTATCTTCTTAAATACTGGATATTTTTTAATTCCTATGAATATTATTGAGATTTGTTCTGAGACACAGAAGTCTAGTAAAGCAAAAAAATATATAAAAGATGAAACACCTGGAGAAAAAATATAAACTGTCATTCACAGGTGGCACAATTGTGCTTGAGGAAATTTTTTTAAAACTAATAATAAATTAGTAGAATTAATCATTTAATTTAGCAAGAAGTATGGATCATTGGTAAAGCAAATCTTTAATAAAGACTATTATATTTCTTTATACCAATAGCAGAAAGCTAAACAATGAAAATATTTAAAAGGTACCATTAGAACTAAAAAACATGAAATATTAAATACCAAGGAATAAATCTAATAAAGGTGTATAAGACCTCTACACAAAAATTATAAAACCACAAAAAGCATTTAAAGGAGACCTAAATTACTTTCAGAAAATAGTGGAGCAGTTTTATTTTATTTTTTGTAGTGGAGCAATTTCAAAATGAAGATACGTATTTAAAGAAATACATATGAGATCCTCAAAGAAATAAATAAGATCCATCTTTTGAAAAGAAATTACAAACATAGTTGAGAACCAAATTAACATTTATTCTTATGCCATAAATTACCACATAAAATTATTTCTATAATAATAGTATGGCTTGGAATGCCTGGGTGGCTCAGTCGGTTACGCATCTGACTTAGTTTTAGCTCAGGTCCTGACCTCAGGGTCATGAGACTGAGCCCCATGTTGGGCTCTGCACTCAAGACAGAGTCTGCTTGTCCCTCTGCCTGTGCTCCTTCCCATGCTCTCTCTCAGTCTATCTCTCTCTCTCAAATAAATAAGTAAAATCTTAAAAAAATAATAATAGCATGGCTTAAAATAATGAGGCATATATGCTACATGTAATTTTTAAGCCCTATGCCTTGGTATTAGATATAAAGAATATTATTTTGGTATTCACAAATTACCTGATAATCAGCAGGACCAGGAGCAGTAAAACCTTCTTTCTGAACCAGGAAGAGAGTCCGAGGAAGAGAAGAACCAAATGCACTTTTCTTTTGTTTCATCAAGCAGGTATTGCTAAAATTGTCGATTATAGTATTGTTTAGGATATTATAAAACCCAGGACCTAAAGTCATGAGGAATACCATAGGTAAGAATAAACATGTTTTTAATTTTTTTTTAACTGAGTAACTCTAAGTAATTTTTTTTAGAAAGAACTCTCATATATTGCTGGCAGGAATGTAAAATGGTATGACATTTAGAGAAACAATTTGTCAAATTCTTATAAAGTTAAACATACACTTATTATATGACCCAGAAATTCTACTCCTAGGTATTTTCCCAAGAAAAATGAAAAAAACCTAAATGTTCATAAGCTGGTGAATAAAAAAAAAAAAAAAGTGCTATACCCAAACAACAGAATACCACTCAGCAATAAAAAGGAAATATAAATGCAATAATATGAATCAACCTCAAAAACATGATACCAAGTGAAAGAAGAAAGACAAAATCCTGAAAAACGTATGATTCTATTTATATGAAATTCCAGAAAATGAAATATCATAGTGACAGAGACAGTAGCCTGGAATGGGTGGAGACTAACTGCAGAGTGGAATGAGAGAGCATTTTTTAAATGATGGAAATTGCCAAAATTTAATTTTAGTGGTGGTTACCTGACTACATCCATTTACCAAAACTCATCAAACTGTACACTTAAATGAATTATTTTATTGTATAAATTATATCTCAGTAAAGAAGAAGAAAGAAAGAAAGAAAGAAAGAAAGAAAGAAAGAAAGAAAGAAGGAAGGAAGGAAGGAAGGAAGGAAGGAAGGAAGGAAGGAATTCTTGATGCCAAAAAGTATTAAAGAGTTGATGTAGCAACATTAAAAATTAATTTGGCAATGAAATGAATCCTAAACTAAAAAAAAAAAAGATTTTGAAAAATATGGAAAGTTTTTCCTTAAAATTATAAGAATTGAACTAAAACTTATGTAGAAAACTGAACCAAATTAACTTTTGGAAATTATTAAAATCTTATTTATATAGCTCTCCAAGCACATTTATTGAAGTTTATAAATATTATAGATAGCATATTCTAAGAGAAATATAGTAAATAAGAGTACAGAGTTTAAAAAATCACTTTGGGAAAAAAATCACCTATCATCCAATATTCCTATCACAGCAGTTACTTTATTTTTGCCTTTTACGTTTCAGGACATATTTATAACCAGGAATATTTTCTACAGTGGCAATCTGAGTGAATATTTGAAACAAATTTTATATTTTGTATCTTTTTATGTTTGTACATATGTTTTATAATTCAGTAATATTAAAATCAGTTCCAGTGAGCAGCAATATCCATCCATAAAATGCAATATATACTTGAAAGAACACTTAACTTGCTTACACTCAAGTTATAATCTACTAATTCTACTAAATTAGCTCTACAACTAAATAGTTAAAAACATAAGTTCTCATTTGTTTTTCTGGGCTACAAGTTCCATGTCTGAAGATACAGAAATTGACTAAGATCAGGCTCCTCAAAATGTGGTCTGTGGGCTGTTGCTTGTCCAAGAACAATCCACAAGAAAAGAAGCTTATGATTAAATGTAAATTGACTATTTCACTAAACACTTTTTTTTATTAACATATAATGTATTATTTGTTTCAGGGGTACAGGTCTGTGATTCATCAGCCTTACATAATTCACAGCGCTCACCATAGCACATATGCTCCCCAATATCCATCACCCAGCCACCCCATCCCTCTCACTCCCCTCCACTCCAGCAACCCTGTTTGTTTCCTGAGATTAAGAGTCTCTTATGGTTTGTCTCCCTCTCCAGTATCATCTTGTTTCATTTTTCCCTCCCTTCCCCTATGATCCTCTGTCTTGTTTCTCAAATTCCTCATATGAGACCATATGATAATTGTCCTCTGATTGACTTATTTCGCTTAGCATAATACCTTCTAGTTCCAAACACATCATTGCAAATTGCAAGATTTCGTGTTTTGTGATGGCTGCATAATATTCCATTGTATATATATACTACATCTTTTTTATGATCCAGTGTGTCATTTAAAGGCTTTATATCCTTTTTTATTCGTTTATGGAAGGGCATCTCGGCTCTTTCCATAGTTTGGCTATTGTGGACATTGTTGCTATAAACATTGGGGTGCATGTGCCCCTTCCAATCAGTACATTTGTACCTTTGGGGTATATACCCAGTAGTGCAATTGCTGGGTCATACGTTAGCTCTATTTTCAACTTTTTGAAGAACCTCCATACTGTTTCCAGAGTGGCTACACCAGCTTGCACTCCCACCAACAGTGTAGGAGGGTTCCCCTTTCTCCGCATCCTCACCAACATCTGTCGTTTCCTTGACTTGTTAATTTTAGCCATTCTGACTGGTGTGATGTGATATCTCATTGAGGTTGTGATTTGGATTTTGCTGATGCCGAGTGATGTTAAGCACTTTATCATGTGTCTGTGCCATTTGGATGCCTTCTTTGTAGAAATGTCTGTTCATGTCTTCTGCCCATTTCTTGATTGGATTCTTTCTTCTTTGGGTGTTGAGTTTGATAAGTTCTTTATAGATTTTGGATACTAGCCCTTTATCTGGTATGTCATTTGCAAATATCTTCTCCCATTCTGTCGGTTGTGCTTTGGTTTTGTTGATTGTATGCTTTGCTGGGCAAAAGCTTTTTATCTTTTTATTTTATCTTTTTTTTTATTATGTTATGTTAATCACCATATATTACATCATTAGTTTTTGAGGTAGTGTTCCATGATTCACTGTTTGCATATAACACCCAGTGCTCCATTCACTATGTGCCTTCTTTAATACCTATCACCAGGCTTACCCATCCCCCCATACTGTTTTCCAGAGTGGCTGCACCAGCTTGCATTCCCACCAACAGTGCAGGAGGGTTCCCCTTTCTCTGCATCCCTGCCAACATCTGTCGTTTCCTGACTTGTTAATTTTAGCCTTTTATCTTGATGAAGTCCCAATAGTTCATTTTTGCCCTTGCTTCCCTTGCCTTTGGTGATGTGTCTAGGAAGAAGTTGCTGTGGCTAAGGTCAAAGAGGTTGCTGCCTGTGTTCTCCTGAAGAATTTTGATGGATTCCGTTCTCACATTTAGGTCGTTCATCCATTTTGAGTCCACTTTTGTGTGTTGTGAAAGAAAATGGTCCAATTTCATTCTTCTGCATGTGGTTGTCAAATTTTCCCAACACCATTTGTTGAAGAGATTGTCTTTTTTCCATTAGACATTCTTTCCTGCTTTGTCAAAGATGAGTTGACCATGGAGTTGAGGGTCTATTTCTGGGCTCTCTATTCTGTTCCATTGATCTATGTGTCTGTTTTTGTGCCAGTACCATACTGTCTTGATGATTACAGCTTTGTAATATGACTTGAAGTCTAGAATTCTGATGCCACCAGCTTTGGTTTTCTTTTTCAACATTCATTTGGCTATTTGGGGTCTTTTCTGGTTCCATACAAATTTTAGGATTATTTGTTCCATTTCTTTGAAAAAAATTGATGGTATTTTGATAGGGATTGCATTAAATGTGTAGATTGCTCTAGGTAGCATAGACAGTTTCACAATATTTGTTCTTCCAATCAATGAGCATGAAACGTTTTTACATTTCTTTGTGTCTTCCTCAAATTCTTTCATGAGTATTCTATAGTTTTCTGAGTACAGATCCTTTGCCTCTTTGATTAGATTTATTCCTAGGTATCTTATGGTTTTCGGTGCAATTGTAAATGGGATCGACTCCTTAATTTCTCTTCTGTCCTGTTGTTGGTGTATTTCTGTGCATTGATTTTATATCCTGCCTCTTTACTGAATTCCTGTATGAGTTCTAGCAGTTTTGGGGATGCAGTTTTTTGGATTTTTCACATAAAGTATCATATCATCTGCAAAGAGTGAATGTTTGACTTCTTTGCCAATTTGGATGCCTTTTATTTCTTTTTGTTGTCTGACTGCTGAGGCTAGGAATTCTAGTACTATGTTGAACAGCAGTGGTGATAGTGGACATCCCTGCCACGTTCCTGACCTGAGTGGAAAAGCT